GGGGGGGGGGGGAGGGGGGAGTGTTCTGCCTCACTTCAAGTTGTTTCGTAGAGACAGTAAGGTGGGGTTGAAAGTGTGACTTCAGTCACTGTCTTCCGCTGAGTTAACTTTCACAAAATAGAACAGTGCAAAAATGGGGAGCCAGAAAGATGCACAAGGCTATTCACAAATGGGAAATAAAAACTCATTGTAACTTTACAATGATACGAATGGCTTCTGTGTCAGGGGCTAGCACAGCACATTGTAAAAAGAGTTTGACTATGAGCTGTATTAAATATCAATACCATGGTCAAAAAATAACCAAACAAATCATGCCTCTAGAAAATGCTAAATCAATAGAACATCCAGAAAAGCGTTTAACGAAAAACAAACTAGTAGTCGCAATCATTAGGGATGCTTTATATTTAATGAATATGTGAACAGGGAGAGGTTAGAAATATGCAACATCTAGAATATTACATTTACCTTGAGAGAAGATCATGTTGTATCCAATATCTGCAATGATTGAAAATGCTGAGGTCCAGGTGCCAGCATGGTCCCAGCACATTGTACTGTTGTTAACCTCACTCTTGAGCATCACTTCTGCAATCATCTCTTCGAGAGACATTTAAAAACAAGAAACAGGTGTACGAATATAGCTGCCTTGGTGAGATTTGTCATTTAAGCCCGGATGCTCATTGATTTATTCAAATTTTAATTAAAAATCACTACTGAGTGATAACGCACACGCACAGAAAACACACACTTGTTCAGTCCTCACCGACAGGAAGTCAACTGTCAACTGTTGCTCAACCCATCACAACCATGCACCTCTTGGCTCCCTCTGGCGGCGATTTAAGTCACTTCATTCATTCTTTTCCTTGCGGTACAGTCGCCTCACTATAAGAAGTAACTTGAACATTGCGCGTTAAGAAAATAGTCCCTACCGTCGTGATGAGCTAACTTCTAGTCTAACTATCGCACGGCTGAAAACTAAATACTAAATAATGGACCAAACTTTATCGTTTAGCACTGGATGATTCCTGTTACAAGACAGTTACGTTTAGACACTTTAATAAGAATTTTTGCGTACAGCTATCGCTCCGCCAGGTTACTCCTTATAGTGAGGCGACTGTAATCGGCCGGCCAGAAACTTGACGAGCCTGTCGCACTCTCTGAAGATCACGCAGACCCGAGGTAAGTAGTAGTGGTACTTCTCGTCCTCGACGCCTCGACTCCTTTACTTGAACCCATTCCCATTTTTCGCAACACACGGGCGAGAGATGAGACTCGGGGCGCGAGAGGAGAAAAACAACTAGAGAGGGTGAGGAGTGTGATGGGACAAGAGCAGAGAGCCGGCCAGTGACATAGTTACGATTGTCGTCACGGCCGAGTTGCAATAAATCGGGGGCATAAACGCGCAACGCGCATGGCCGCCGCCGCAACGCAGCGCGGCCCTCACGTGGGCTTCTTTCTTTGTTGGTGGAGGACCGGCACTTTACTCGCGTGACAATTTAGCGAGGTCGAGCTGGACTTCCAGGAGTGCATCCTCCTCTCTTCGTTAAGAACAAAGAGCGAGAAAAGTGAGAAGACGACACGCTGCAGAAGATGAGGGGGGGGGGAGTGGGGTGAAGAGAGAGAGGGTTACAGTTTATGACAGTTGCTCCAAGTCTTTCCCTATCTCTCTCTCGCTCTTCTTGTGGTAGCGAGCAATTAAGTGGGGACTTCCGACCGCCACTGACCGCACTGTAACGGCCACAAAGTTTGCGAGCCTGCGGGCGCGGGGAGTCCGGCTGGGTGTTGTGAGCTGCGGGGGCTCACCCCCCAGGTGCAGGCCGCCCGCCAGGACCACAGCCAGCTCGTGTTTTCTGCGTCGTGCTGACGTCTTGCTCATGGAAAGATCCACCCCAGCCGGCCCGCGGGGAGCCAGGGGCGGGGCGGGGCCGGGTGCACAGTGTTTATAGTCGAGTCGAGGTAACAAGCGAGCGGAGCTGGGCCCCACACGGCACCTACGCCTGCCCCTCGGCCGGACTGCGGCTACTCCAAACGGACTCTCCCTCTCCTCCCCGTGCTCTCGGCGGCAACGGTACATGACCGCCGTCGACGACAAGCATGACGGCGTACCCCTCTGGCTATATATAGCGGCGCGCCAAGTTTGTTTTAGGATGTTTGGCCGTGAAGTGGTGATGCCGCTCTAAAAGTAAAGCCCCGACACGCGCTGAATGTGTGTGAAGGAGCGGACGACGACTGTGCGCGGGGCCGGACGAAACCGACTCAACACAACTCTCAAATGAGAACGCATCTGCTGGCAGGAAAGGGAACAAAGGGCGGTTGGGGTGCAGAAGAGGCGATGCGTGGGCAGACAGGAAGTTTGTTGGAGAGGGGGTGGGTGTAGTTTGCAGTGCCAGATCCTTTTTAATGAATACCGTTCAGAACTTGCCCAACTTGCCATCGTTCAGGCGTTCATAGGGGTGCTCACAGCAGCCGTTCGTTCACGTGTTCATTGCCCGTTCGTTCACCGGCCTGGTTTCTGAGCAGCCCCCAGGGATAACTGCCTGAGATATCTGGAAACAATGAGAACCTCCTAGCTCGCGTCCTTAACAAATACGGCTTGTCGGCTCGTAAGAGGCTGGAAATGTGACAAATTTGCTTGATTAGGTGCAGCAATACTAAAAAATTAGACCAATGCAATTTTTTTACTTTTCTTGCATTCGCTGGATCCCATTGTGAACTCCGATGTTAAGCAGGTGGGTGCCCAAGTCGTGGGGTGCGTGCATAACGGGATGGGCAGAGGGAACCCCCACCGAGTTTTATTGCCCATCATTCGTTCTAGATTCGCCAAGCACCATATTTTTTTTAAGAGCCCGTAAACAGCTGGTGGTGACCACTCGCCGCCTCGTTTAAGAGCGTGTGATGCTCGCCAATGAGCTGTCACGCTCGTGGCGGAGCGGGAGGCGGAGCGACTCCTGCCAATGCTGCCCTGCCGCCCACGCTCCACGCCCGCGCTCGCGACCCGTCCTCTTTCTCAGGTGTGTCGTCCGGCCAGAGAGACACATCGAGTACATGATGCACGCCTCCTTGCCTGTCCCCCTCGCTCCTCGCCCTCTCTCTCCGTCTCTCTGCGAGTGTGTGTCACTGTCGCACTCCTCTCTCGCTCGCTCTCCGCAGCCCTCTCCCTCTCTCTGTCTCACTTCTTTTCTTTTTTAATTTTAACCGCAGCTGGGCGGGGCGCGGCGGCGCGGCGGTGACGAGGAGAGGTACGCCCCATCCTGCAGGGGGGAGGAGGCAGTGTTCGCAGTGCTGGCCGTGCAGTCATCGTCGGGCTGCTGCTTCTGCCTCCCGCGGGCGAGAGACACATACCCCCGAGGAGCGCAGCGCAAAAGTGCGAGCAAGCGCGCGAGCGCCAAAGCCACACGCCGCGTGTCGCGGGACGGCCGAGTATAGTGATATTGCGGACGATTATCGCGAGAGTCGAGAGTGCGGGAGCGTGTGCGTGCGTACAGTGAGGCCAGAGGACCGTGTAGGTCCTGTAGGCCCCCGGCGGAACCCCCCGCGGGACCTGACCTCCCCGGGACAGTGAGTGGTGCCGACACAGCGGCCATACTGCCGCCCAACATGGATTACCAGCCTCCGGACCACATCCTGTGAGTGCCCCGCTGCCCCACAGCCCCGCCTCCTCTCCTCTGCGACTGGAGCCAGCACCGGAACCGGAACTGACTGGCCGGCCGCCGAGCTGCTGGCTCACGGAAGCGGCTATAAATCGCATAGTGTCCTCACACGGCTCTTCCTGTTCCTCTTTTGGGGGAGGAAGAGAAATTGCGGAATTGGTGTTCGGGCAGAGCCAGTATGGGAAACGACACCGAGCAGGCCTCGCGTACAGTGGATTACCACAGATTTTTCGAATTACCCTTGGATTACCCACCCCCGGGATCGACACAGCTGAGACCGTGACACGACACGACGATCACCCAAAATTCGTGATGCTGGTCGTTGAGAGGTCTCCACTCGGTGGCCTGACTTGCTCATACTCGCGGGGCCCAACTCATTTCGCCCTGCTGGGCCCGGCAGCGGCCCGCCCCGCGGCGAGCATGGGGGTAGGCACGGGGCGGTGCCCGGCCGCGCGATGGGCTGCCTACGCCCCCGGGGCTGATGCTGGTGCGGGCCGCGCCCCACACTCGCCGCGGGGCGGGCGACGGCAGGCGGGTGGATGGACGCGACGTGCCCGGGGGACAAAGGCAGAGAGCAGCAGACAGACGACGGCAGAGGCCCGGCGGCATAGAGCAGTCGCCCCGTGAGACAAAGAGACGGAGAACGGCGAGCGGGAATGAGGAGAGACGGCGAGCAGAACGGATGAAGGTGGTCGCGGTATTTTTAAGGCCCCCCCGCTATTCCTGGGATGACTGAGGCCCACCGGCTCGCCTGCCGCCGCCCGCCCCTTGCGCCTCCACGGTGCCCCCTCCCCCCCTTTCCCTCTTTTCCCTCCTCCTTAAGCCGGCCGGCCGGCCTGCGGCGCCGGCGGCCCCCGGCGAGTGGTCTTTATGTCGAGGGCCTCATTGTCGGGGTTGTAGCTAGATTATCGAGCCCCCCTGCGATGAAGGCCCCCTAGGGAGCCGGGGCAGGGGGGAGGGGTGGCGGATGTGGCCCACTCGTCGCCCATGAGAAAGATCAGACAAGACGGAACCACACGTTTTACGACCACGTCCAAAAACAAAAATTGTGACGCTTGTTTTTGGGGTCATAGAATGGTCGGGGCCCGATCGGACCCAAACTGTGGATTTGAACTCTACATTTAAAAGCTCAGAACAGGCTGAATTGACTATTTGGGTATCTATGGGCATTTGCAACCGGTTGATCCCAAGAAAGACTCACTATACAGGATGTCTATATTCTATTCTCGTATTTTACGCAGGGAGATGTTTATCTGCGATAAAAACAGCGACTTGGCTTTCAAGCTGTCTTGTTTTTTCCAAATCTGCTATGGAACTGAGACATTGTTTTTATCGCGTCGCAGCTGCAGATGTAACGCTCTCAACAGTTATTAGCTCTGTGGTTGACCACAAGAACATTCTATTACTGACCGTACGACCGTCCTTGCCCTACGACACGGTAGCGGACTCAAGGACATGATTTTTTTTTTTCATTGAACTGCCACACCCCTCCACCTTTTCCCCTGAAAACCACTCATGTTCTTGACGCATAACTTGGTTGAAATAAGTTATTGATTCGATATGTCCACCGTACAATGCCATTAGATAATTTTTAAGAGTTCCTACAATAATTTACGTTTTGGAGGAGCTTGTATTTTGGCACCAACTAAATTAACTAACATTTGTTCGTGTTATGGAGTCGAGGCGTTTTAATGTGTTTCCTGGCGCCTGCAACCTTCGGATAGGCAGACCCGCCACGCACGGGAGGCCAGGGATTGCAGGGGCCGACTCGACAGGCGCAAGAGCCGAACACAAAAAGATTTTCGTCGTACAAGTTATTTGGGATACGTGGAAAGTGTTTTTGAATATCAGTTAATGAGTGGCGAGAATTTGTAACTACTTTATTGTCAAACTTCATCGTTTTTTGGTGTTGAACACCGTTGAACACGTTCAAGATCAATTCAAAATGTCAAATGGTACTTTTATGAATTTGCCCACCACGCTTACGCTTGCTCACAGAACGTCCTCTTAATTTGCTCGTTTCGTTCAAAACAAGTCCAATTTTCTTGAGTAACTCGAAAACATTCAGGAATAGGCAACACATTTCCCTCGCTACGACGTAATCAGCTATCTTTCTGGAGTCCCACTTGATCCCGATCCGGACTGAACCCCGAGTAATATCCAGACGGTCCTTCTACTAAAGTGGAGGTTTGTTGCTGACGTGTTCGTTCTGTTGCAGATGCGGGTCGTCTGGCTAGCGACACAGGCCGCCCCACAGGGGGCCTCGGACACAGACAGCGCCCCTCGGCGGAGCGGAGGTGAACCCGCTCCTCTGCCTTCTTCTCAACCTCTGCGACAGCCTCGTCAGGCACCCCAAGGTAAGGAAAGGCCCTGCATGTCGGGGACGTGTCGGGGACCGTGCACGAGCACGACGAAGACGTTTAGGCGCCTCCCCTAGACCAAGGCTTTTGCAAGGCTCGGGTGGGGCTGGGCGCGGCGCCGGGACGGGACAGTCCGCCACGGAGCGGACAGCAGGATGGGAAGAGAAATAGTGGTGTCACTGCCCCGCGGATGTTTGGGCTACCCTGTCGGCGAAAGACAAAAGCTGACTCCCTGCCAAAGGCGTGCAGGTCCCTCGGTTCGGTCCGCGTTGCCAGCGCAGCATAGCGGAGCTGGAAACTCCGTTTGGCGGAAAGGCGGGCCCTCTCGGTTTGTTTTTTAAGTATACTTCATTTTTTCTAATTATTGTTTTATTATAGTGGGCCTGAACTGTAAAAATTGTTTGTCATCACGATGACGAAAATACCATGGTTAATTGTTAGTACAGGGGTGTCGTCTTGGTTTTTTTCGTCACGGACTGACAGACAACCAAATAGCGAGTATCATAGTTGTGCGTAATAAGGGTAATAGGGACTCTGCACACCAATATCCAGAGTGATTACCTCCTCTCCTGGCCATTCCGCTGAGCAAGTGCACACTAGACACGATGGGTAGCAGGGGGACTGTTGACCGTTTTACCGGCAATGACACAGCAGCTAACTTGCGGACCACCACCCCCTCCTCTCCGAACCCCTCGGCCTCCACGCCCTCCTCGCCTTCTCACTGTCTTTCTCGACAAACTGCCCCGATACCCTTGAAAACCAAGAATAGAAAGTTGGGGTAAAACGGTCTGGTTGGTTGAGCGAGAGGGGGGGGGGCAAAAGACGGAGAAAGATAGTGAAAGGGAGACGGGTTGTTACCAATAGAGTCTACTACGTACTAACCTAGATGGAGGCAACGTGGACGTAACATTTCATGCACTACTATTCGCTTTGACAGATGTCTTGCAAGTGGACACAGTACGTTGTGCGTAACGGGAAGACATGTAACAGGAGAGATATAGAAATCTTTCTGTAGTAATTAGTCGCACGGGCGAGCTTTAAATTGGGATATGAATGTCCTTGCCTCGTCCCACTAGCGAAAATTCAAAAGAAAACGATGTGACGTGCGGTGTCAGCGCCCCGCGTGCCCGGCTGCCAACGCCGCCGGCCCGGTGGTCGCCGACGCCGCCGACGCGAAGACGTCTCTCAAATAAGTCATTGACGCTGCTACGCTCGCGCCCCCCTGCGGGGGGACCCAGAACCGCGGCGTGCGGCTGGCGCTCGCGGGCCAGGGCGGCGGCAGTGCACGTTGGTTCAGGCGGCGGTGCCTGCCTCCCGATGCCGCGGTCGCCGCTGTTGCGCCTGCAGTGGTAGAGAGGTGTCACATGCCACCTCCGTCCGATCAGACGAAAAAGAAAACGACGATTCTCAAGAAAAACGAAAAAGCTATAAGCGGACGCGTAGAAAACATTATTATGAAGGGGGACAGTGCTGTGATAATAATTCTGTGTTAAAGTAGTAAAGTGTGAGTGAGTTTAGTGTTTCTGAAGAGCGACTATGCTCGTCGAAGTGAACGTTCTTCAACACTTCATTGGATACCATATGCTGTGAAACGCGTAGAATTAAATTTTAGACGTGTGAGTACGAGCAGGGAGCCTAACGAATGTGCGTTTTTGTACTGGTGTGTGTTAATGCCTTAGAATAAAGAAATTTCTTGTCTTAGACTAACTTTCACTCTACACCTAATCTTTTCCTCAATCCTAACATAACATTTCCTCGGTTTTTGGCCGATTCCTCCAAAAAAAGGCATCCGTCGCATGCAAGTGCGGCGTTAGGGACAATTTTCCTCTCAGGAAGTTTAAACCACTTGCAACAATGTTACAGCATGACTGAGGAACGCATGACCCTAACTTACCAATGTTGCACTCTATAACGAGCACGAGAGGCGATGCATGGAGTGAGAGCATTTTTATATCATCATTTCATATTATTTTTAGTTGAAACATAACATTGAAACCCCAGGCTCGGGGTGCTCTACACCTGTCCGTATGATACGCTTGGGTGGGATGTGCCCCTGTCCCGCCCTACCAGGCTAATCCACGCCCCGCCCTACCAGGCTAATCCACGCCCCGCCCCGCCCCGCCCGGCCCCGGCCTGCCGCGGTCACACAGACGGTCCTAGCAGCCCCTTGGCGCCCGGTCTATTTCTGCCTGTTTATATTGGTGAGAGTGCCCCGCCCCGCCACACCTCGCCCCGCCCCGTTGCCCCCGGCGGCCCTCCTGCAGCATGGGGACCGTGCATAAAGCATCTTCCAGACCCGCCGCCCGCGCTGCCCCCCTGCCCCCGTGACGCTCTGAGTAAACTTTGATTTGGTCCGAGTTCACGCGCACGCCGGATTCGGTTGCGCAAAATTATTGCGTTAAATGTCGTCACGATGACATCATTTTTTGTTTTCCGTTTCCTCCCTCTGGTGGGCTGGTGACGTGACGCGGCTCTTGTCGCCCACGCGGTCGCGGGGGAACCGCTGAGTCTGCCAAGGTGCCGGCAAAAGGGAGAAATGATCCAAAATAACGACTCTAAAGTTCAACTCAGTGAGCTTGACTGTCCAGCTCACTGATGTTCATCGAACCGGAACTTCGAAGTGTATCAAAATTCATGAAGGTGTCAATTTTTTGAAGGATCATTTTTTTTAGAAAAACGAAAGTACACAGCACGCAAAAATGACCTGTGCTGGCACGATAAATAGTGTCCTGCAAAAAATGTAGTAACAGCAAAAGCTTTTTGATAGAAGTGCAAAAATGATGTCAGGTATGACGAACTCAACGTAATCAATCAGCTTTGCTGGGTTTGGTATTGCTGATTACGCTTTTGCATTTCCAGCAGAAAACTTTGTCTATTACTTTAGAAAAAATTACTGAACCCACCAACCCCCGTTATTTTCGTAGTAAACCGACGTTGAAGCCTCCCTTTTCGGTACATAGGGGACGGACGATACACTGATAAATAAAGTGTTGAACTGGTGTGCACATGGGCGTGCTCAACACAATGTAGCAAACTTTTAGTGTTTTGACGGGATATTTGAATACTTTTGAAGTGTTTAACAGTAAATTTAAACACTTTAATGTGTCCCAAGCGAGGGGTGCCCAACTGAGGTAATCAGGTGTACACAGAGTAGGTAATCCCTGGTAATCACCGGTAATCATTGGTAATCGCCAGTAATCCTTGGTAATCGCCGGTAATCCTTGGTAATCGCCGGTAATCCTTAGTAATCGCCGGTAATCCTTGGTAATCACCGGTAATCCCTGGTAATCGCCGGTAATCCCTGGTAATCGTCGGTAATCCCTGGTAATCACTAGGTAATCGTTGGTAATCACCAGGTAATCGTTGGTAATCATCAGGTAATCTTTGGTAATCACTAAGTAATCCAGCCAGGAAATTCCTGGAAATCTTTGGTAATCACTGGTAATCTTTGGGAATCACTGGTAATCTTTGGGAATCACTGGTAATCTTTGAGAATCACTGGTAATCTGTGGTAATCAATGGCAATATTTGGTAATCTCTGGTAATCTTTTGTCAGTGGTAATCTTCGGGAACCCTTGGTAATCATAGGTAATCTTCGGTAATCTTCGGTAATCTTTGGTAATCCGTGGTAATCATCACTTTTTGGTAATCAGGTGTACACGATTTTTTCGAGTTGGGCACCCCTCGGTCCCAAGCTTTATCGCCAACCCTGATGTTGAACAGTGTTTAACTTTACTGTTCAACGTTTTATAGTATTCAAAAACCCAGTCTAACACTTGAAAGTGTGCAACATAGTGTTGAGCATGTGCATGTGCACGCCAGTTGAACACTTCATTTATCAGTGTATTCGTTTTGAGAACCAACAAACCATGTGCCAAATTTGTGCAGGATCCACATTTTGCGAGCTTGTCATGCGACCGCGTAGAAGTGTATATAGTGTAGCTACTGCACTCGAGCGCACTTGGACCTGTCGCAGACGGCACATATTGTATGCAGTGTGGACGACGCTGCTGTCCGTCGCCGCTGAGAAGTAGATCTGGGCCAACAAAGCGCGTGAAGGACGACACGGTGCGGTGCGACCGACATCCCTCACGGGACACACACTTTCCCCCTCTGGCGCGACTTGAGGCATGAAGAGTCCATTCAGCAGCGTCACATGCGCCGTTGGGCCGGCCCGGGCCAAGGAGTTGGACGACAAGTTAATTAATGAGCCGCCAACAAAAGACAAGAGCTCAAGCTCGAGAGCTCGGCCGTGCCAGAGTTGACGCGAAGGCGCAGGCCGCTAACCGCGACACCAAGCGGTGCGTTTTCCTGTTATACGAACTGCGGAAGTAGCGTGACGTTTGAGAGGCGTGACTCGGATGGGCGGGGAGGTCAGGCAGGGCCACTTGACCGGTGGTGGCGGGTGCGGCTCAAGAGGTTGCAGGCGGCGGCGGGCGCTGCGCTCTGCCTCCCCACTGACCTACCCTATAGGACGAGACGAACCGGCGCGGACGCGGACCGGCGCGGCGGGAGCGGGAAGGGCTGCCAGTCAAAACTTTGGGAATCGCATACGCGTCACCGGGGCACGCTAAGCGCACGTACGCACGCGCGGCAGCGGCGTAACGACGGACCTACCAGTGATAGCGTCAGGAAGCACACGAGTCACGCGCGCACTCACAACAAACAGGGGGATAGACTTACTAGGTAGATGTACGCCGAACCACGTCTCGCGTAACAGGCTCCGCGATATCTCACGAAACATTATCACGCTGCGACGCGCCTAGCAGGTAGATACCTATAGGCCTGCGGCGCTGACACCCGAGTCGGGCTTAAAATCAATACAGTTTTTGCTTTTTATGTGACAAAGTTAGAGTAAAATTCACATAACTAGCTTAAACCGTTCTCGAGTTATCGTGACGCGAAACTTTCTGATCACTGGAGTAAATAGGCTTCTCTAATCGCTCATCCAATCCGTGATGACGTCAGGAAGAGCACGAGTCACGCGCGCACTCACAACAAACGGCGAGACTCGACGCCCGTGCGGCAGATGGCGCGCCCCGCGCCGTCCTCTGGGATTCCCAGTTGGAACTCTCCCAGCAGAAAGGACGTCACCTCGAACCTCGTACATGTTGTTTTCCAGAGGGCTTGACATTTCGTTTCTAGAGTTTGACTGGAAAACCACTTGGAATCTAGCGAGTGTATTGTACCGCATACGCATAATGTGGGCAGGTTGCTGCCCGAATGGCGCCAAGTCCACCCAGATGCACAAGGGCATGCCCGGTGTCTCTGAATGGACACCTAGTACGCAAAGATCGCTCAGAAAGTATGTCCTTTTCCAGCAGATTACTGGAGCTCAGCGCCCGCGAAACGCCGGGTAGGCCATCCCGCAGTACACGCATGCACAGCAGGCAAGATGTTGCCTACCTGACAGGCGCTATGCAAGCTTAACCGGCTGTACTTCGGTGATCCCTCAGTGGTGGATGGGGGTTATCAGCCGCCTGTGAATTAAGGCTCGTATATTCAGAATATTTTCGGCGGGTAAAGTTCTAGCCACGAAATACTGCCTCGTCTTAAAATCCTTTATATCTGAAGAAGATACCTGTTGATGGTGGAGGTGTGAGTGGGGGTAGGGTAGGGGGCCACCGAGCAGTGACCGCGAGCGTCTCTGCAGGTGTAACGAGATCGGTTGAGACAGGGTGGCGACTCGCGGCGGCCTCGCTCCTGTCTGCTCGCTAACTATCGGCCTCTCAAATCTTTGGGGAGGGGGGAGGGGAGGGGGAAGACCAAAGGCGGGGAAGGGGGAGGTGGGACAGGGGGCCAAGGCAAGGGGAGGCTGGCCGGCGACTTTCCCTCGCAACGAACGCGGCCAAGGCCTTCCCTGCCGCGGCCCCTTTGGCTCCGACACCCAAACAAAACGGAAAAGTGAGCCCCGGTCATGTTTCGATAAAGTCTATATTTTCGATACTCGCGACGACTTCTCGTTCTCAAGCTGTGGCGTTTATTTCGTTTCGAAGGCGTATTCCCTCTAAGGGTCTGCAGCGAATTGCTTCCACCTTCTCTCCATACAACCGGACAAAAAGGAGGATCCCCAGCCGAAAGAAGGGCTAAGCGAACTCGTGGGTGGTGGAGAAGCTGACGCCAAACAGACTCTGACGACGAACGAATGACGTCACGGGTCTCGAAAAAGAGACGGGGTGAGGGAGGAAGCAGCATGTCGCCCAGGGCGCCGGCATGAAAAAGCAGTGCCGCGGACTACTACAAACAGACCAAACAGGAAATAAAAGTTTTCAAGATTGGATCATACTCTCTGAACCGGCGCGGGCGCATGTTCCTCGCCAGGCCTGGCTAATCCGAGCCGCTGTGCGTCTCTGACTGTTCAACCCCGGAAGAAGTAAACTCGTAACCGGGATATGCAAGGCTTTTGAAGCTCGCTGTGATGCGGTGCCGTCGTCGCGGGCGGCTGGGTGAATCGCGTCGGTCAAAACTTGAAATCCTCCCTCCCCTCAGGCTGGCCTCTGGCCTGGTGGCCTGGCTGCCTGGCTTGCAGGAAGTGTCGGATCAGCTGTGGGGCGTGTCGGCCTACATGTCCCCGGGCAGGCCCAGCCCCCAGCCGGCGTGGCGTACGCCGAGTCGTGTGCGGTGCCACGCCGCGGGCTTTACTGGCGTACAGTCCTTCCTGACGCACTTCACCGAGCCGGTTCTACTGAACGGGGTGCTCCCGGCCGGGGCTGCTGTGGGCTGCGGGCGGGGCGCTCGGTCCTATATTTTTAGACCCGTGTCTGTTTGTTTCACTTTTACTGGATGATTATTGCCCGTCGAATCCCGGCATATCGTTCGTTACTCACCAGTTTGCATCGAGATGGGCCGTATCTTCAAGAGAACTGAACAACATGACATTCCAACGAATAGATGCGGTCCGGAAGTACAAATTAAAATGGAAGCACAACAACTGAACCAGCAGTTGAACGCAATTTATGTGGAACCATCGCATGCTAGATCATCATTTTTTTTCGGGCCGCTTTTCAATTTGTTCTTTCATTCGGTTTTTGAAAAAGAATTCACGGCTTGTGATGTTTACCCTTGTAGCACATATCGTTCTTAGAACGTTTACGGAACCCTCAGAGAACCACAAGAACGTTCTCAGAACGTTGTCTGAATGTTTGGTGCTCTATTAATCATGGGGTTTTGTCTCTTTTCATGTTCCCACAGGACCATGGAGCAATTCGAGCAGCTGTTGACGTGCGCCATTTGCTTGGACCGGTACCGCAACCCCAAGCTGCTGCCATGCCAGCACTCTTTCTGCATGGAGCCCTGCATGGACGGGCTAGTGGACTACGTCCGCAGACAGGTAAGGCCCAAGTGTCACGCTGGTGACAGTGTCACGCTGGTGACAGTGTCACGCTGGTGACAGTGTCATACTGGTGACAGTGTCACGCTGGTGTCAGTGTCACGCTGGTCACATTGTCTCTCCGGCGACAGTGTCACGTGTCCTGCTGGTCTCTTACTCGTCACGCCCTTCCAGGTGAAATGCCCCGAGTGCCGCGCCGAGCACCGCATCCCATACCAGGGCGTGCAGGGCTACCCCACCAACGTGACGCTGCAGCGCTTCCTGGAGCTGCACATCGAGATCACGGGCGAGCTGCCCGACCCGACGGCGGGCCAGATCATGGAGCGGTGCGGCGTGTGCTCCGAGAAGGCCTACTGCTCGCTGTGCGGCCACTGCGACAAGAAGATCTGCGAGGACTGCAAGGGCGCGCACATGGACATCCTGCGCCGGGAAATCGCAAGAATCAACAACCAGGTCGGTGCGCCTTGGAGTCCTCCAAGGGGGACGATACAACGGGCTCGAGGTTTAGCTGCGATTAGTTTCTCATGCTTTACACAAATTGAGCTCGCGTAAAAACGGAAGAACGCGATCATGGAGGAAAGGGC